AAAAAAAAAAAAAAAATCTTTACAATTCTTTTTTTTTTTTTTTTACTGACCGGTAACGGGATTGCAACCCTCGGTGTCGCGCCCGTACCGGGGACCGGCAACGGGATTGCAACCCTCAGTGTTGCGCTTGCACCACGCTCAGCCAGTGAGCGGGAACCGGTCTCCACATGGGATCCGAACCCTCGGTGGGAGCGCCGCCGTGCTCCCAAGCTGCACACTCTCCAGTGCGCCACCGGGCCGGCCCTCTTCTTTACAATTCTTAAATACCCACTTCCAACCCTGTCTCCCACCCTACCTGCTACCCTCACTTTCTCCCCACCTCTGCTCCATAAAAATATGCAGATACCTATAGAGAGGGGAGGAAGTACAGTGTTCATGCTTTTATCCTGAACCAGAACATCACTGGCCTTTGCCTACTAGATTAAAAGTTTTCATAGCCTAAGGAACTATGGGATTTGGGGAGAAACAATAGAACCCCCAAAACTTTATTTGTGTAAGATTCAAAATGCCTTACCTTTCTCTCCCTGCCAATAAAGTAGAAAATGATTGGAAACAAACAAACAAAACTCAAAAACTAGACCCCTGTTTTTAATCCCTTCCTTGAGTGATGCTAGGTAAAGCAAACAATGAGAGGATGTATGGGAAAAACCAAACGTGGTAAGAAGATAGGTTGCCCACAGTCTCACTGGCTGGAAAAGAATGTAAAATTTCTAAAGAGTAGAGATGGGGCACACAGACTCTTCCAGAGAGTAGAAACTCTCCAGTACCCCAGTTCATGATCTTTATCTTCCCTTTCATCTACACCCTCAAAAACTGCCTGCACACCAGCCCTTTTGAAGGTCTCAGGTGTAAATGCTTTATAGAGAAGTCTTAGCTTCTTGGATACTGTGGTAGGATTACATGTCAGTATTTTTTAGCTTAATCAAGATGGGTGGGCTGGCAAGTAGAACTAACTGAACTTAGTGTCCCAAAATCTTGAGAGTCACTTTGAAAGTGTTTTTGTCAATAGTTCAATTTAGCCAGCAACTTTTACTGAGTACCTACTATGTTCCTTTCCCTTTCAGAACTTAACTTGACTAAAGAGAACATGCACACAAATAATTTCAGTAAAATATAGTGAGACTTACTAGTACAAGTGAATTGAATGTAATCTGAGGTTGTGAATTGCATTGACATTACCTTTATATAAAGTGAATCTTAATTTACAAACACCAGGAGGACAAAGGGCATGCTTTTTCTTCAAATTATATAATTCTAAATTCGTCTTCTGTCTCTTTGTTGATGCCCGTTAATTTGTGGAAGCTTAATAAGTTACTCATTCAAATCATTTTATTAGTTTCCTACCTGTTGCCATTACATTTTATAGTAAGTATTAAAATGTTTTTTAAAAATACATAGAAGTTGAAATAAAGATAGCCCTTTGAAAAAACCAACATTGCCACAGTCATTTCATTTACCTTATTAAAAAGGGGAGGCTTCAAATTTAATGTACAAATTTCTAAGAGGACAAATGATGAGTCTATTTAACCTGTTTGCTAAGCTGACAGGTGAGATTATTTACACACGTGGAAACTGCAGCTGTTCTAAATGAACAGTTGTCATAGGAGCATTGCATTAATTTTGACTCTGCCTGATTACTCACCTTTTGGCTACTTACAGATTTACAAGTGTTGTACAGAGTCACCACCTCTGTCCCTTCAAAGCCATCTTTTTTTATTAATGTAATCTTTCATAAAATTTTTAAGTAGAAGTAATAATCCCCATCCATTCCCTCAGATCCTTCCTCTTTATGGTTTGTCTGAAAGCAGAAGGGGATACACTTCCTGCAGCCTTTAGTAGTGAGAGGAGAGTGAGAGAGCCAGACTCCTCTTCTCTAAAGGGGCTGAGTAAAGGGAAGAGTCGGGAAAAGCCAAGGAGTAGCCAGCACTTTGCTGGGTATCCCAGAGAACTACAGAAGCCACAAACTGATTTACATTACTTCCTTTTCCTCTGATAGTATGAAAAGCCATGTAGCATGTCTTCTTGGAGTCACATTCCAGAGATTCAAATGAATTTTATTAGGGAAAAATATAAGTAAATTTTAGGTCTTTTAACACATTATAATTGCAAAATGTAGCCATGTTATCACATTTTGGGTAAAAGTTACTGGGCAAAATGGTCCTGAGGATTTTTCTGTGCATCTGTTCTTAAGAACTACATCCGAAGAGCAGTACACTTGAAGGGAAGAAATTATTGAGTACCATTTTCTGAAAGTTTGCTTCTTTCAAAAGTACTATTTGTGCAGTACTTTATTTAATTAAACAATATTGAACTCCAGAGAAATGAAGCTGTTTTTTTGTTTGTTTTTACAACTTTGAAGCAGAAGATTAAAATAAACCCACATTTTATTGCTTTTCCTCTTAGGAACACATGATTCTGTGCAGATTTGCAGATCAGACAGCTGTCCAGCTTCCACCCCAGCGAAGGCTCATAGGTATGTGCTTTCACAGAGCAGCTGTAGAGTAGTTATGCACAATATACTAGGAATAATGGACAGATATGGAATATGGACATGGAATATGGATATGGAATATATGAAAAATTGGTCCACTTATCAATAAGAAACTAAAGTTTTTTCTTCCCAGAAAACCCGTATTGAAAAGGGCTTTGTAACTATCATAACAGTTTTCCCCATTTTTGGTTAACATTAATAGTTTGAAATACATTTTCAAAGTTTATACATTGAATAGAGTTCTTGTGTTATATCTCTTACTGTTATGAACAAACTTTAGGATCTATCAAAAGCCAAATAGTTTGAAATACATTTTCAAAGTTTATACATTGAATAGAGTTCTTGTGTTATATCTCTTTCTTACTGTTATGAACAAACTTTAGGATCTATCAAAAGCCATAAACAAAAATAATACAGATGAAAAAGTCAACTATGCAGGCCAAAATTAATGCATTACAAAATGTCTAAAGTAGGATGATAATGTTTCTTTCTCAGAAAAAAAGTATACTTGTATATTATATCATCATAGACCAACTTGTTTGGCATTTGCAATATTAAACATTACCTAAATTGAAAGACCCACAAAAGAATTTCAAGTTTATTAAGTAATTAACTTATTGAAGATATGTTACTTTAGAAAAAGAGATGATATTTAGAAAAATAATAGCAGCCAACAATTACTATGCGTTTAAGCACTGAGCTAAATGCTCTCCCCTATTATCTCAGTAGATTCTTACAAAACTACTTACAGGGTACATACTATTATTTATGTTTTAATGATGAAAGAACTGAGACAAAAGTTTGCCTGGAGTTCTCCATCTGGTAGACGATGGCACTACATTATGAACCCAAATTATTTCATTCCAGACATGAAGCTCTTGTCCACTTTTATAATACTGCTTTCCAGCACACTGGAGTCAAATCACTGGAGGTTTAGGTTCTAAAATTACGGTTTAAGATAAATGGGTGGAAGCAAAACTAATCTTAAAAATTATTTGAAAAGCACTGTCATACTTTTTCTCCAAAATTCCAACATAGCCCATTTTCCTCCATGGTGTATGAGTTTGTTTTCTATTACTTATTAACAGAATACTTGAAACTGGGTAATTTATAAAGAAAAACAATTTATTTTTTACAGTTTTGTAGGTCAGGAAGTCTAAGGCTGAGAGAGAGCATCTGGTGAGGGCTTTCATTTTGGAGGGACTCTCTGAACAGTTCCAAGGCAGCACAGGGTATCACATGGCAAGGGAGCAAATGCATGTGTAAATGTGCTCACTTGCTCTCCTTATGAAGCTATCACTGCCCCTGCCAGGATGAATCCCTCATTCATTAACCTATTACTCCATTAATCCACGAATGGACTAATCCATTCATGAGGGCATAGCCCCCACAATACAATCACCTTCCAAAGTCCCCACCTCTCAATACTGCCCCATTGGGGATCAAGCTTCCACATGAGTTTTGGAGAGGACAAACATTCAGATCATAGTTCACAGTATACTGGAAAACAGTGTACTTTCTTTGTCTAAGCACCAAATGAAGCAGTTAGCTTGCATTCAGGGACCGTGTTGTTTTCAGAGGTATCTTTAAACTCTAAAATCAAAGTCGGCATGGCAAGATGCTCACACTTGGAAAGGCGTGCAAGACTTGAGAATGGGAAAACAAGTGATTTCCTTCTTTTTCACATTCTGGGGCATAAACATATGGAATGAGCCTGTGCTCTCCTGCCTGCAACTTCTCTTTCTCTTTCACTCTCACTCTCTTTCCCTCCTCTTCCAACTTTTCCTGTCCCCAACACTTTGAGCTAATCAAATGTACATTTGATAAAACTCCACTAGACCCATATCTGAGTTCATTTTGTACTGCTATAACAGAATACGACAGATTGGGTAATTTAGAATGAACAGACATTTATTTGGCTCATGGTTCTAAAGGCTAGGAAGTCCAAAATCAAGGGGCCAGCATCTGGTGAGGACCTTCTTGCTGCATCACAGTGTGGCAGAAGCCATCACATGGCTAGAGAGATAGCAAGAGGGGCCAAACTCATCCTTTTATAAGGAACCCACACTCACAATAATCCTCTCTCATGAACTAATCACCTCTCATTAGGCCCCACCTCCTAACACTGTTGCATTGGGGATTAAATTTCCAACACAAGCTTGTCAGGGGACACATTTAAACCAAAGCAACTCATAATGAAGACGTAATTAGTATGGTAGATGGATGTGTACATGGTAGATGTGAATTTTAGGCATCAGCCACAGGGAGTGGCTGGAACGGAAGATGCTGGAGTCGAGGAGGAAGAGCATTTGGCAAAATCACTGTTAGGAAAGGGGATAAATCAGGTTCAAACAAAGCCATAGACTCCATAAGATGCCTACATGTCTGCTTTGCACAGGCCATCCCTGTGTTCTGTGAACATTTTTAGCAAGTTCACCAGGCCCCAAAAGGTATACTAACAACTGAATTTTCAGTTGTAAAGACACTTCAATGTGTGAAAACATGGGATTTTTCTACATAATGGAAAAGGAAAAATTAACTGGGCTGGGATCAAAGCCAAGGGTAATTTAGCTGCAATGTAAACCCAGAGTTGGTACCGAAGGAATATAGAGCATCTCATTCTGACAGAGAATGTTTCATTTTAAACTGAAAAATAGATGGGGGAAACATTTACAGATATCTTAAAGGAAGGACAATATTTTTAGGGGGAAAAAGAATGTCAGCCAAATGGCTGTTGATGAAAAAGGGATGATTTTGCCTAAACAGAATTCTAGATATCTCTTTTTTATATCATTTCTTACATAGTTCATCCTTTATGGCATGGGCTCTTTTAAGGAAAATGTACAAAATAAACATTTTAAATCTAAATCTCTCATTGCCAATTCTTACCTACTGATTTCCCCTTCCATTCTTTCTTTTTCTGTGAGGATTCTGTCTTCTACAGAAGAACTTTTCTATTTCAGTTATCTGCCTTCAATTTTGAAGTTGTTTTAGTTCCGCAGTTTCCACTGTCATTTGAATAAATTATTTTAAAATACTGTTTAGGCATTATTATAATTATTTAGGTAAAATGGAATGGATAAAGGTGTTCATAGTCAGTAACCGTTTTCTAAGAAGATGAAGTTTACTGAATTTAAAGCAATTGAAAATGTAAAAGTAAACCAAAGCTTTGAATATATTCAGCCCCAAATCATTTTTTCTCAAGCTACTTTTGAAGTTTGAAGTTCGCGTTTGCCAAAACAAAACAAATTATCTGCTTTGCTTGCCAGTCACGTTTCTTCTTTTTTCCAAAGATTGTGAAGGAAGTAGCAGGAGCTCTGAAAATTAAGAGTATATTACACTCAATATTACAGGTCCACCTGAAATAATTAGCACACAATTGAGCATTTTATCACACATTTTCCATTTCTCATTTCTTTATAGTCCTAAAAACCTCTGGGTGGAAAATGTAACATGTCATTCAGATGGCAATTTGCCAGCATGTTAGTTTAGATTTTTTTTCCCCAATATTATGGATAACATAATTTTACAGGGAATGCAGAGGAAAGGTCTTTCAATGAATTTTTAACCAAAGTAGGAAACAGAATTTGAGATTCTAATTTGTGATTTATTTGTAAATACATTTGAAAAGGTTAGCATTCTTTAAATTATTAGCAGAGACAAGTCTGTGAAATGCATGTATATATAACTGTCTTCTGTCCACATTGATCCAGAATTAAACTGGAAGAGACTAAACAGGACTTGGAGATAAACAACATTCTCAGTAGTATTTGTGGATTTTGTCACTGTATAGATTCCATTAAACAAACTGAAATTACACTGCTAGTGGAAGGATGTCTCATGATACCATTTGACTATATTTCAGGAAAACAGTGCATGTACCTGGTGGATCTGGATCGAGCAAGAGCTGCGGAAGAACGTGGCTACTCTGTTCAAGTGATATCCATGGAGCCAGAGAGCTGCTCTCCCAAAAATAACATGATCGTGGGAGTTCCCATTTAGGATGAGATATTCACATTTGATGTTTTGCCATCTGTCTTCATGATGAAAGCCCAGTAGCACTCAGGAGGTTCTTGACATAACTAGGAAACAGCATTAGCCATCTTGAATCTATTGTGCTCAGGAAGGAAAGCAACAGGAAAATCTTGGAAGAAAGTCTGCCTGCAAAGCATCACAAATGCTCTTACAATATGTGATTAAAGGACTGCTGATTTTCATAATGACAATCCCCTGAAGTCTCAGCTGCCAACAGAGTAATACTGGAGGTTCTATCACTGGAATAACAATTTCCTTCCTAGTTCACAAGTTTTTCTGATCTTGCCAATGTGATGTTCAATTTAAAACAATGTACTTGGCTTTATTTTATAATCATTTAGATATACACATGGAGACTGAAACTAGACTCAGTGAGATTTTTGTGTTTTTTATATTTTTAGCAATTGTACTTTTTCTATAATTTTTTAAAAACCAAGTCAGGTAATTACAGTATGGTTATTTTTAAGCTGGGGTTAGTTGAACTTTTATGTAATTTAATATACTACTTTTAAATATATTTCCCGTAAATTACCAAAGGAGATTATCACTGGTTCAAACATTTTATGTGAAGAGATTGTAAAATAATTGCAATAAATGTCCCATTATGGGAACATGGAATTTAAACATAAATTCTAACTAAACAATAAATACTTTGATTAATTAATTCAAGTCTATAAATTATTGTTGAGGATCCATTATTTTTAAGACCCTGGCCTAGAGTCTTCTGTGGATACAAAGATGAGTTGCCAGAGACACAGTGTTTTGCCTATGGAAGTAAATCATCTAGAAAAGAAAGATTGAAGAATTAAGTTCTTTATGTCATACTAAAATGTATGGTCACAGGATTTGTTATTCAGATGTCAAATACATTTTTTATTTACATATATATTTTTCTGTAAAACTTATTGAGTATAAGTTGAGGGTGTGAGGAGTGCAGAGTGTGGAAGCTTATTCAAATAGTTGTCTTTACCTAAATTATTTTCTACCAGCCAGCATTTTAAAAGACAAATGACACATCCTTTCTCACATGCTGCTAATTATTAACTTTTCTATGTCCTATGTTATTCTATTTAAGATTTATTTCATTGAGTTTGATGTTTTCAACTCCTGAATGACAACATATCATGAGGAAAAAGGACCTTAGTTGGTCATCACTGTGGATTAAAATACAGGAATAATTTACAGGGCAGTATTGGGGTGGTAGGTTTGAAGTCTTGTTTTCCGAGGTAATATTTAGGAAAAAAATTAACCGTCAACCCTGAGTATTTTAGTCATTTGTGCCTATAGATACAAGATGCTCTTTTATCTTGGACTTTCTTTTTTTAATTGAGTTATAATTTACATACAATAAAATAAAATATTTTGAAGTATTTCATTTGAGAAGTTTTGACAACTATATATACCCATGCCACCACCAGAATAAGATATAGAATATCTTCCTTATCTTGGACTTTCTTTTTTTAATTGAGTTATAATTTACATACAATAAAATAAAATATTTTAAAGTATTTCATTTGAGAAGTTTTGACAACTATATATACCCATGCCACCACCAGAATAAGATATAGAATATCTTCATCAGATATTGTCAGATATATGTATTGTGAATATTTTTTCCAGTCGGTGGCTTACCTACTCATTTTCATAATGAATGTTTTAATTTTGATGAAGCTTAATTTATCTTTTTTCTTTTATGTTTAATATTTTTTCATCCTCTCTAATAAATCTTACCCACCCTAAAGTTATGAAGGTATCTCCTATGTTTTCTTGTAGAAACTTTATGATCCTAGCTTATTACATCTAGGTTTATGATCTATCTCATTATTCTAAATCATTATTCACGTGTAGAGGTAGGTAGATTTTGAGGAATGTATAGTCACTTAAGCACCATTTTTTAAAAATTATTTTCTATTCCCATTGAATTGACTTCGTACCTCAGTTGAAAATCAATTTATGTATGGGTCTATTTCTGAATTATTTAGTTTTATTCATCTATTTGTTGTGGTTGCTGTAGCTTATAGTAAGTCTGGAAATCAGGTAATTTGTCTTCCAATTTCATTTTTCATTCTCTAGATTATTTTGGCTATTCTTGATTCATTGTCCATATAAATCTTAATATAGGCTTATCAATTTCTTTTAAAACTTTTACAGAAATGCCTGCTGGGATTTTTGGTGTTTCCTGGTCCCTTTAAATAGATTTGGAGAAAATGAACATCTTAACAATATTGAATCTTATAGTCCACTAATATATCTTTCCATGTATTTAGGCTCCTTTAATTACTCTCAGCAATATTTTATAATTTTCAAATAGAGAATTGTTTTATTTATTATTACTTGATGGTTTTGATGTTATTACCCTGAGCTTTTTTCACACTGTTTCCATTACCCAGAAAAGCCTCCTTTTACACCTTCTACTAGCTTAATCTCATTCATCCTTCTGCTCTAGGACTTGACCTCCTGAGGGCAAGGCTCTGAGCCTTTCCTAACTTCCCTGGAGTGAGATACTTGTTATAGAATGTTTAGCATCCACAGCAATCTTCTAAGTCCTCCCAGCGTGACTCAAGGTACCCCTCTCCCGATCCCCCCAGAGAAAACAGCCTATGTGATGAGTATGGAGAACAAAAACAGGAAGAGATCCCACTGCTCTCCCACTCTTGTTCTCAACATGGCATTCTCCTGCTATGATGGCTGTGACTAGTAATAGATATGGGTGTTGTGATTACTCTTGAATCATGATTTTTCTATGTAAATCCTTGTCAAGGCTCCTTCCTAGCCAGGGCAAATAAAAGGAGTTGGGTGCAGGCAGCAGGAAGATAGATTGTTGCCATGCTGATAATCCCAGCAAGTGACCTGGTCTCACCCCAACCCCTGTCCATCAACTGTAAGGCTGTTCCTCATTGATCTGTCAGTGATCATCTCGTTGACTTTTGTGCCTGACTCAGAGAAACGGGTGTAATTATTATGGCCAAACTACTTTATCTTATTTAGGGAAACCAATTTCAGGCATATTGGAAATTAAAACATTTTCAGGGCAGAATATATGTGCAGAATAATACTTGAATAGCAGTAATTAAACATGTCTCATTATAAAGATTTTGGCCATAGGTGTTGCCCACTACATGGTTCAACAGAATTGCTGTTAATAGAACTTCCACATACTGAAACCTGTTTTTCTGTTGACTTTTATAATGAAATTAGAGATGTTTCTGTGAAGTGATATAATGAAATCATAATAAAGTAATACATTTTTAAATTATAATTTTTAAAAAAGACACTATCAATGCAATGTAGTTTGGAGTTTTTGAATAGAATTTTTTAATTATACAAGAAATACATGTACTGTTAGAAGATGTGGCTAAAAAAAAGAAGAAAAAATTTTAATTCATGATGTTAATACTTTGTTGTATACAACACTAATACAATACTTAATATTTGCTAGGCACTATTCTAAGCCCTTTTCAAATAATAACTAATTTAGTCTTTTAAGTAATTTAATCTTCATGACCCTATGAGCTAGCTACCATTAGTAATCTCATTTTACAAAAACTAAGGCTAAGGTTATACCATAAAAGCAAACCTGGATTTGAGCTCAGCCAGTAATCGGCAGAGCTAATATTCAAATTCAGGCTCTTTAGCAATCCTATCAGGTACAAACTGTGATAACAAAATCTCAGTACCTTTACACAAAAAGATGTATTTTTCACTCACTATGTATCCATCCAAGTTGCTATTAGTACTCCACCCTACCTTCACACCATGACCCAGCCTGACTGAGCAGCCTCTATCCGGGACATAGCTTGTCTCCTGGCAAGGGAACAATAGGCATGGCAAACTACCAGCTAGCTATTAAAGATCTGGCTGAGATGTGATACCCATAACTTCCCTCACTTCATTGGCTAAAGCAAGTTACACAGCCCCTCTGAGTTTAATATGTGGGGATGTATAGCTTTATACATAATATAAGGTACCACCAGCAATGTAGTTAAAGGAGGAGGAGGAGAAGGGAAAGGGGAGAGAGGAAGGGAGATAGGAAAAAAAAAAAAAGAATGATTGTATATTCCAGTTTAGAGATAGAGATCCTGAATGTCATTGACTTGGTGTAGGGCATTCTATTGAATACAACAAAGACAGGGAGACATGTTGTAGTGCTAGGTTAATGTCGGAATCCTGCCAATGTTGCCAATTGTCAAGCTCTTTTATATGCCTGGAATCCTGTGCACTGGGCCAATTGTCAGGCTAGGGCTGGATCTGGAGCTCACAGCCCCCTCAAGCCCCTTGTCCAGACTGGGTCACAAACCCCTTACATGCCAGGCTGGGTCACCAGAACCCTTACAAGCAGGTCTATGAGCTGGGTAATCAGCAAACAGGTCCTTGGAAGCCATAGGTTGGAAAGCATGGCTGTGCAGAGTCATGTCTGCCCAGACACTCACCAGCCAAACCGGGGTGCTGCACATGCGCACCAACTCCACCCACCACCACCACCACCCCACCCCCGCACACAATTTGTTTACTGAACCAACCCCAACCGGCCCTGAGGTGAGGGATCTTGACCAAACTATTCTATTTTCCCAACACATGTGCCACAGGCATTTCTTCTTATTGCTCTGTAGACTTTCATACATACCTTTGGAAGGGAATTTTCCAGGAAAGTACTCAAAGGAGTTTTTAACTATAACAGAAGATTGGAGAAACATTAAATGGAGTTTAAAATTTGCAAATTCTGCCTCATGTATTAAAGTACTTTATCTATAGGGCCAGCCCGTGGCTCACTCGGGAGAGTGCGGTGCTGATAACACCAAGGCCACGGGTTCGGATCCCATATAGGGATGGCCGGTTGGCTCACTGGCTGAGCGTGGTGCTGACAACACCAAGTCAAGGGTTAAGATCCCTTTACTGGTCATCTTTAAAATAAATAAATAAATAAAGTACTTTATCTATAATGCCAAATATTCCTTTAGAAAGTAAAAGTTTACAATCCTACTAAGAATATGTATTGAAAATACAGGTACTTTCAGGTTTTTAGAAAACATCATGGCCAATTTGATGGACAAAAAATGCTGTCTTGTTTTGATTTTCATTTTTTTTTTTTTTTTTTTTTTTATATAAAGATGACCGGTAAGGGGATCTCAACCCTTGGCTTGGTGTTGTCAGCACCACACTCAGCCAGTGAGCAAACCGGCCATCCCTATATAGGATCCGAACCCGTGGCCTTGGTGTTATCAGCACCGCACTCTCCCGAGTGAGCCACGGGGCCGGCCCTGATTTTCATTTTTGAAATTATTCATTTGATTGCATACTTTATGTTCATTGGTCATTTATATTTATATGAGCTGCATATTCAATCATCAATTTATTCATCTACTCAACATATTTATTGAACTTGAAGGTCAGGCATTGTATTTATGTCCCTTGCTTATTTTTTATCTGGTACTTTCATCTTCTACATAGAGGAAGGTGTTGTTTTGTTTTTGTTTTGCTAATATAAAGTTTAAAATATACGTGTACTCATATCACTCTTTTCCTTGTGGTTTCTGTTTTAAAAGATTTTCCTGCCACTGATAAAAAAAAAAAAATTCACCTATATTTTTGATACTCTAATTCTTCAATAGTTTTAGTTTTTACATTTAAATGTTTAAATGAGCAAGAATTTCTTCTGTGAATGGT